AATAAGTGTTGCACCCCAGTTCACCTCCCTGAGACCCTCACTTCTTCTTCCCATCACCAGCCTGTACTCACATCCCTGTGCAGCTCAGGCAATGCTTTCCCTCCCCAACAAGCCCATGAAAACTCTCCCAACCCCCTGTGCCTTATTCCCTGTGACAAACCCAGCTCCGCACCTCAACCCTCTGCCTCTAAGACAGCTCTGCCTTCCCCTAATAGCCTCCCTCAGTCTTCCTTTAAATTAGCATATGTGGAGCTCTCTTAGCTTCCTGACCTCTGCTGCAAAAACCTTGCCGAGTATATCCAAGACTTGCCTTCGCCTTTTTCATGGTGTGTTGCATGCCTGACCCACTAATAAATGAAGGGCTTTCTTATCCTTTGTCACTTCTAAGTGACAAGCAGGAATTCTTGTTAATCACTGACTCTGTGATCTCCCAGTTATTACATTTTATCCTGTTTCTATTACTCCAGGCCTCAGTGCTATCCAATTAGTCGTGAGTGATCTGCTGATCCTCTTTGCTGATGCTGCCTCCCAGCTTTGTCATCAGCAAATTTCACTTACACTTCCAAAAGTCATTAGGAAAAGCACCGAAACAGGATTATGCCCAAGACTGAGGCTTAAGGAGACTACTCCAGTCCCTACCATGGCAGAAGTCAAAAGGTAAGTGTTGGAAAACAGCTTTTTCTCCCCTAACAGGGCTTTTTACCAGGAAAGCATCAGTGCACAGGAACATGGTGGCTGCAGGGTTGTAAAGATAAGGTGGGAAACAGCAGCACCAGTTTCCAACAAGAAAAGCCTCAAGTCCATGGAGGCAGCTCAGGGCTGAAATCTCCCAGAATACAAGGATCTTGTGAGCTTTGCAGAGTTCAGATTTAGAGGTTTTCACCCAGGTCTTTCTTTTTCACCTAATTAGCACCTTCAGCAACACTGATTCTCCACCCTTGAGCCAGGTTCTAGGATAGGACAGCACACCTGGTTTCTTATTCTGGTGGGATTTGCCTGTCCCTAGATCCACAGGTCAGCAGGATAAACTGTAAAGTTCAGGCACAAGTTATTCACTTGGGGGATTTGAGAATACAAACAAGAAATGAGGGAAAGGAAAGTGGACCTCAAAATTAAATCAGTGGAGAAAGAGCAACTGAGTAGAATAATGCTGCCTTTTCTCTATCTTGGGTGAAAATCCAATAAAGTTTTATATTGACCTGCCTAATACTTTAATCTCACCTTATCTTCCTTTTGTCTGTTTTTAAATGACTCCTGTCCATTCTCCCTTTTGCTGGAAGAGAAGCAAGATGAGAAAGTGAATACCCCAGTGCTCCAGGGAGCAAGAGGTTTTCCCCACCGTTGACTGCAGGAGAGGCAAGTGATGCCAACCATTGGCATTGGCAACAGGGTCCCTCCAGCAGCTGCTTTCTCAACAGAAAAGGTGGTGTTTTTCCTCTACTCACAACTTCTCTGCACACATGATGCACTTATTGCTGTGCTGCTTCCCAGAGGAATCCCGGACGGGGTCATTTTCTCTGGTGCAGGAAAGTTTTCCTTTCTTGAACAGGTCCCGAAACTCTCGGCAGTCATCCTGTGGAAATGCCAGGAGTGTGGGTTGACACAGATACGCTGACAGAGATGCATCTCCGAGAAGTCCACAAAGGATTATCCACCCAACAAATTACATTTCAAACACTATTTTGTTTCCTTGAGGTGTAACTAAGTGGAAAATCATAGTTTGCCTGATGTGTTCTCTTAAACTATAGCATGCAACATAAACCAAATGAGCTAGTATGTTTAGATGAGCAGATCTGTCTTTTGCAGCCAGGGCAGCCTTATTTCTATTCCTAATAGATAAGACATGCAGGAGCCTGCCTAAAGGACCTAGGTTCTGCTCCACGTATAAAAGCTATAATTTCCCACTGAATTTTGAGTGAGGAAGTCTTTTTTCCCCCATCTCTCATGACTGCACACAGTACCAAGAATTTTAAAATCAACACACAGCAAAAAGATGAAGCTGTAGGCATTAAAAATAAAACAAATTCTTGCACACCTGACATTCCCAGGTATGCTGGAGTAAGAAGTGGGTATTTTTACCTTCCACTTAACATGACGTTATGTGTTATGTGAAGCAAAGCACTCTATTTCACCAGAGGCTTTTGTAGCAAAACCTGCTTAAGCATTTAAACCTGGTCTTTGTTTTCCTCTGAACGCTTTTCTATAACTTTCAGGGCAAACAAGCAGTTTTGTAGCAGAAGAAACATGCTGTATGTGAAGTCTTTACGTTCTTTTATGCGGCACTTTTAAGGTTATCTGCCAAGCGTATATCCGTAATACATTATTTCCCCCCTCCCCTCACAGTGTGTAGAGGAGATGGTTTGATAACTTATCCCAGCTCTGCAGATGGGGAAGTCAAGCCCAGAAAATTACTTGCCAAAAGCCAGACAGAAAATCTATGGCTGAACAAAGAAATTCAGTGTAGGTCTCTTCCTAACACTGAAACTGTCCTTCTGCCTTCAGAATCACACTTTGCCATGTCAGGTGTTTCAAAAAAGATCTCCCTTAGGACAGCTGTGCTTTACAAAGCCTTTAAATTGTCCAGGCACACAAGAGCTAGAAAGCTACCCTGCTTAACCAGATGTGAAGAAAAAAATAAATCCTGCAATCAACACTATCTGATGGAAACCAATTCACTCCTATCTAGAATAAAAACCCAAGGCTCAAAAGACAACTCCCTCCACATAAAGACCTGCTATCTAGAAAAACAGCTATGGGTAAAAGAAACCAGCCAGGTGCATCAACAAGATAAACAAGGGACAATTAGAGTCAGCCTGTTCCCACACCCTGCCCTAGTCAGAGCTCACATACATCATCATTGCTATTAATTATCTGTCAGATGCCAATGGTGTACCTTATAAACAGGCAGGTATCCTCCTTAGCCTGTGCTCTGGGTCAGGCACGGACCATATGTGCAATGTGAGTAACTGCCCAAAAGGGACCAGATTGCCTGCAAGGAGCCCCGAGGAGTTTTCGTTTCTTTTATGCTCGCGGATGGCACAAAGCCTCATGCTCCTTTAGACTCTCTTCCAAAGGAAGAGTATATTATCCCTGCTCCCATTACAGGCACATAGCTGCGACCTTCCCCATTGGCCAAGCCAGCATTTCCCACTTCAGACAAGGAAATGTACTCAGCAAGTGGGTCAGAGGAAGACACAATGCCACCACATTGTCCTGCTCCCAGCATACCAATAAAACTGGCTTTAGCAGCAGTGGTTCACCTCACCTCTCCCAAGGAGTCCGCATTCCTGTTCACCTCTTCACCACTCCCTTTGTTTTTTGAGTCTTTTTCCCTGCAAGAAAGGGAGGATGAGTGTCAGAGCAGCATGTAGTCTACAGACTTAAAACCAGAACAGCTAACGTTTAAAGTCCAGTCCTGCCAACCCCACCTCCCTGTTTGCGCAAGGCATTGGGATGGACCACCACTGGGACTCTGGCACAGTGAGACCTGCCCAGTTTTTAGCATCTTTGCACTGGGGGCATTTTGCCATCCTTTCTTCCTAACCTCCAGGTTTTTCCATCCCACTAAACACCATCTATGGAAACAAGAAACAAGTGTTTTCATCCTGGGTTTGCTCCTCACACCCTGTGTGAGGAGCTAGAGAGCACTACTGAGGTCACAGGTTTTCTGAAGAGCTACTACCCCGTCTGTCTAGCCCAGAACTATGACTTTGCACAATGGACTAGAGTCCTGAGAGTAGGCTCATCGCTGTGGGAGAGGAGGACGTGTTGCAGATGGGCAGTGTGGCCGCTATAGCCAGTGCGAGAGCCACTGGGCAGCTGATACTCACAGCAGCCTTTGGCACATCAGGCACTTGTTGAGGTCTGCTTTTCCACCCGCGCTGCTGATGTGCTCCTTAGTGGTGGGACAGGAAAACTTCCCACTGCGCAGAAGTGACCAAATTTTCGTGCACTCATCCTGAAAAGCACAGAGGAGAACAGTCAGTGGAGGCCTCCTCAGAGGCCATCGAGATCCTGAGAACAGTTTGTTTAAGCTTTTTTGGGTTGACTATGTGCTCTCAACACAGTTTGTTAACACCAGCCCTGGGGCTACCACACTCCTCATCCCTATCCCTCAACCGCACACCACACGTGGTACAGGCAGCACCCAGAGCCCTGCTTGTGACTCCCAAGGTAAAGACAAGGAGAAAGTTCAAAACATGTTGAGAGGGCCATTATTCATGGGAAAAGGAATACATATTTAATTTGCATGCAGCTGCAAATTGCTACCCGCTGCAGGGGAGGAATCCATGTTATAAAGTTAGTCAAGAGTGGAAAATATAGCCCTAGAAGTTCCAGTAGGATGCAAGAGTAATGAATTGACTAGGGTGACTGAAGAGCAATTCAGGTGAAAGTCTGAAGCACAGGAAAGGACAGTCCTCTTAGGAAACACAGCTGCAGCAACCAATTGCCTCTTCTGCTTGGTAACTGAAATACCAGGACAATCAATGAAGCATTTAGTTATTTTGGGCTACTATGTTTTCCAAAGGGTCTTTACTATGGAGAGACAACTTGTTTGATTAAAACATGAACAGAGCTGACTTCTCAGTCATTGGATCAGATAATTTCCTGAGACTCAAAGGACTTGCCTTAATTCTTTTAATTATAAAACTAGGAAATCATCCAGCAGAAACCCCAGCTCCTGAGCAGAAGCAAAATCCTGAAATATCATTAGAAATATAATATATGACATTTCTAACTTCATCTCATGAGATTTCCAGCTCAGAGCCGTTCAGATATGTGCTCAGCATAGTGCACCAAATATACACTGTCAGCTAGAGCCATTGCTGTATTACAAAAGTATTGTCTCTCAACATGAAGAAAGTCACGGCTTTTTCCACCACTGAAAAAGCATTATGATATCTAAGATTACTCTGCCTAAATGGCTTTGCTCAGAGCATGCATTAAGCAGTATAGCTGGCAAAACAAAAAGGGAATAAGAATAGAAAAGGTTGGACTCGCCTTAATCGAAGCTTGGCTGGCAACATCTGCAACAGAAAAACCAACAATGAGACCATACAGAAACCTTTGAAGGGAAATTTTAAACCAAAAGCATTTAATTAAAATACTTGATGCAGTTTCCTAATCCACCCAAATAACCTCTAGATAAGAGCTAATCCAGTGCATTATTGCACACTAATAGAAAGGACTGGGCATTAGAGACTTTCTGGAACATTGCACTTTTTGTCATTCAAATGCAAAAGCACATCTATTTGTTGTGTCTTTGTGCCCTCTTTTACTGTGTTCCTTTTCTCAGGCTTAAAGTCCAAATTCCAAGGATGATTCACTGTTTATTATTATATCCCACTGCCTCAGTAGTTGTATCAACCTTACCCAAATTTTTTTGGCTCGCTTCATCTTCATCCCTTAAAATCGGGATACCAAAGCTAGGCCATATCGCTGTTGTTTGTCTAAAACTTCAAATTCCTTTTCAAGGCCCATTCCATTTGCAGTATCTCACATAAATTGCCAATTAATAATGAGTCAGCAGGTAAGCAGCTGATATATGTTTCTTTTTACTAAGCCACTTAAAGCCAGTATAATACATTTCATCCTTTCCTCTTGCATCATCAGTAGCAACACAGGAAACCATCAAGAAATCCTCCACTGGCTCTTTTTCAACAGAAATAGGCAGTGAAGACCATTGCATCAAGCTTAAACTCCTGCTAAAATCTCTATTGTAGGCATGCTAAAATCTCTATTGTAGGCATACAAAAATGGATTTCTTAGTAAGTGTGACAAGAAATTCCTGGCTTTCTGAATTTACCAAAAATTGCATTACACTTTTTTCAAAGTCAATCTTTTAACACAAAATTCAATCTGCTTGGAAATTTGTATTCCTCCACTTACACAACTGAGTTTGTTTGTTCTTAAGCTGTTACATCTACTAATAATAGATACTCTCACCTATCAATAGAACTTTTCACACGCAAGAGAAAACATTTTCACACACAAGAGAAAGAGCTGTTACCAAGAATGTGTTATATCAAATCAATACAAGTAGTACAGTAAGAAATTATGGTCTTCCGGTTATGTCACTATGCTTTTTAAAGAACAAGAGCTCTCTAATCCGGTGTCTCACTGCCTTTATGGGAGCTCCCACGCTGTGTCCTCTGCCAGACCCACATTTCAGTATAGAGAACATCAGAAGTTACTAACCTGAGAAGAAGCAGAAAAATGCCAGAGCAAGGACCACCGAGGCACCTTCTGTTTTCATGGTGAGGGTGGCAGCTGTTTGCCTACGTTGACTCTATTAGTGCATTGCTCAATGAAACCCAAAGAAAGGGCTCAGGTCAGATCACATATATATAGATGACCAGATTCTCCGCCTTCATTATGACATAATCTTCTCAAGAACCATCATTAGCTGCAAAAACCAGTCTGATGACAGTAGTTCTAAATTCTAATGATCCCATTAACACAATTAATTTCCATAAGGATGGGACATATTTGAGTCACACCCTGTATATAAGAAAGCTATGAATAGATTATTTTAGTTCCCCCACACAGCAGGAAGAATTCTTGCCATCTTTAGAGTGGTTCATAAGACAGAGGTACCCCAGTTGACATAACACTAATACCCTTTTTTATCTCAACAAAATAGCTGAAAGCGTTTTGCTTTGGTAACTTAGCTCCAGCAGAGACAACAGGAAGGCAAGATCACTCAAGGCCTCTGGAAGTCAGCCTGCTTTTAATAAAACACCTCAGTATGAACCTAAATAGCAAACTTTCAGGCAAGGTTGAAAAGCATCAAGTAAAGTGCCTTGTTGAAATTCTGAGTTTGATGCTACAGTTCACATAGCATCTATGCTAACAATAAGACCATACTGCCAAACTCTCATCCCTTTCTTGTCTCTCCCTTATCTTCAGAAGGGACCACAGTGTTACTAGTGAAAAACCTTTTCTCAGCCCAGGTGGGACCTGGCAGACCATACTGCTCCATCAGATCAGTGGTCAGAGGTGGGTTGTTATTGATGCTAAAAGGTCCAGTACACTAGACCTGCTCAGCTGTCTCTCAAAGAAGAGATAAAAATGAAGGTGTCATCCTGCACAGGGTTTCTCAGAAGACTTGAGAGAGGGAAATAAAGATGACATCAAAGTTCTGGAATGTGATTTACGTGGGAAGAAGCTATGTGCCTTGTTGTCCAGGTACACGAAAACTGGGAAACAGAAATCATTTGTAAGGTTTGAAACAGGTGGACAAGTGAGTCAAGCAGAGCAGAGGGATGAGGGACTCAAAGACAGGCAAGCAGGCTGTGGCTGGGCAGAGAGTCAGCTCAGCTCCACCTGAGGAAGAAAACATACTTCTGCATGACATATGTGTTCATCTGGACTGGTCAAGACAGCTCAGTATAAATCCTTGTGATAAATTGCTGCGACACGTTTCTCATATCAGAATAGCTGTTAGTAGGGTCCTAATTTAGCCAAGTAGGGTCCTAATTTAGCATGTGGTCATCCCTAACATTTCTTTTTGACTCAAAATTAGACTACGTGCAGGTTCACAGTGGAGATTTTGGAACAGAGAAGTAAACTGCCTACGGTCATACAGATGGTTCGTGGCAGATCTGAAGAGCTGCGTGCTGTCCTGAATCATGAGATAATTTCTGTATGCGTATTTGGGCGTGGAATTAGAGGGGAGGCCAACAGGAAGAGAGGAAAACTAACCTGATATAGCACGTCTTGGTAAATCCTTGGGAGAAACTGGAAAATATCTGGAATGGAAAAGGCAAAAAATGAAATGTGTATGGCAGCTTGAAAGTGGATAGAACTTGGAATCTGAAGGACAAAGCCAAACAATATTCTTTGTTACTGAGACATCTTCCCATGATGTCAGCCATGAGGTAGAGTTTGGGGAAGAAAAGGTACATTTTTTAATTGGTTTTGTTCTTAAAATTTTCTTTTCCTTCAAAACCTCTATACCTATGGACAAGTGAAACAATCCCCTGATTCAGAACTGCTGGCTGAAGTACAGTGGATACCAGAGCTGGTCAGACTGGCCAGGTGAGAGCAGCTTCCAGCCTGGCAGTGTAGACAAAGTCAACAAATGAGAGAGAGAGGAGACACATAGGTCTTGACCCTAGATCAGCCCTGCAACCACCACACCTCCCTCCCATCATCTGACCACTGGAGAACACTGTCCCCTAGCTATACGTACACCAACATGTGGGAGATGCTCAGAATGGTCCAAACACATCTTGATACCAAAAATAGAACCATGTGCAGTACCAAATCTCAAAAAAAAAAAAAAAACCCAAAACAAAATAGAGAATGAAGAATTTTAAATGAGAAGGATCTGAAAGCTGGAGAGGGACTTTTTAAAAGGACATGTACTGACAAGGGGGAATGGCTTTAAACTGATAGGGGGGAAATTCAGATTAGGCCATAGGAAGTTCTTTACTCTAAGGGTGGTGGGACATTGGCACAGGGTGCCCACAGAAGCTGTGGCTGCCCCATCCCTGGCAGTGCTCAAGGCCAGATTGGACAGAGCTTAGAGCAACCTGGTCTAGTGGAAGGGGGCTGGAACTGGATGATCTTAAAGATCCCTTCCAACCCAAACCATTATGATTCAAGGATTTCCCTCCCAATTATTACTGCATAGCTGCAACTTCCTAGAACACCATCAACAGTATGAAATGTGATGTCAGGGGATGGGGAGACCCCTGAAAAGCCACGTGGTTTGAAGAATGTGCTCCTGTGTGCTCAAGTTACACAAACTGAGCAGAATAATGAGGGATAGCAGCAAGGGTGTATTAAATAGAAACCTTACCTGACTCACTTGATTGCCTATATTGATGGATTTACACTTTATTGATGGATTTACACAGTAACATCTCAATCCTGCATGGGAATCCAGACAGCCCATTAATTTCCATAGGAGATCTGTAGAAGAGAGCCTACGCTTTAGCAATGGGTTTAGTACAGCACCTTGCTAATCTTAATTTAAAAATGATGCCAAGCAGCTGAAGAACAATATGCTACAGGGAAAAGCAGTTAAAGGCAAGAAGAGATATTCCAATGACTCTTTTGTTCATGTCACTTAAAATTTCAGAAAACAGCATATAAATGATGCTATGCCTGGCAGGACAGCTCTCACTGGGTCCATTTTCCAACACATTCTGGTAGGAAAACAGGAAACAGGATAAAAATAATCATGGAGAAGAAACAAGGAAAATGAGAGCATAATATTAAATTTAGGCAAACTCTTGTCAGGTGGAAACTGGAGAAGTTGTGATGAGTTCTAGGGACAAAGTCCTACAGCCATCGAGCTGGGTAGGACACAGCCACAGGGACAGTCACCTCTTCCCTCTTCGGGGTCCTGAGGAGTATGGGGAGGGAGTCCAATAAGCATTTAAGTGATTCACACCCCAGTTAGTGATGACCATGCTCACACTCCATTTCCTATGATGCTCCCACATTTCACTCCTTCACAGGCTGTGCCTGCACAGGAATGTGTCTATAGATACATAAAAATAAATGAGATGCCTTGTCCACTCTGGAAATAGATTTTCTTCCCTTTAGTGACATGGCACTGTTTTGCAGATGGGATCACCTCCCATCTAATGGGTTTAGCATCACCTAGGGATGGTTTTGGCAAGGGAAAGCTTCCTGGCAATATAACCAGTTGGGGGCTTTTTTTGGAGAGTTGTTTGGGGGGGGAAGTGGAAAGTTGTTTGGGGTTGAGGGGAGGGGGAGGTGTGTAAGGACAGCAAAGGTTTGGTTGGGTTTTATTGTTGTTGGGTTTCCGATAGCTTTGCATTGTTTGAATGCCAGTCTCCAGGCTGCCCATAATGCTCAAAAGCATGAACTTATACAGCCCCATTCTTACCCTAGAGGCAGGCAGCATTTTGGGTCAGGTATCCAAAGCCACCACAGCAGGACAAAACAAACCCTGATAAGTACTGGCAGCCTGCATTTTACCTACTTTGGCACTGCTGTGAGGGGGGTGGGGGGTGGCCAGGGACAGCCCCCTTCCACAACACTGTTTGCCTTTTCTCCCACTGGAAAACACATCACTGCACTCACTGCTGTGACTGCAGTATTATCAACATAATTCAGCAGGCAAATGGGACTTTACCAGGCATCACTGCTGAGTCTTTAGACCAGACTGGGAAAGCAACACATGCTTCTCTCTGTGCTGCTAGCACTGCTTACTCTTCCTCCTGCCCACCAGCCAAGCTCACACCACCACAACCTTCACAGCATGTGCTCTCAAGTGATGCCATCTCTCCAGGTGTCCTGATCACACAAGCAGAGAGCCTTCAAGACTAGATCCCATGGCCTGCTCTCCTTACCCAGGGAATTAAACTCCTTCATACCCAGTGGAAAGTAACACTAATAGGAAAACTAAATCACACATATTTCCAATAAAACTACAGACAGGCCTATATTCCCACCATAGTTGTCCTTTCCTGTCCTGATTGACACACTTTTTACTTCCTTGCCATCCCTTCCCTCTCAGAGGAACCCCATCACCGCCACTGCTTAATGCTTGATTTCTGAAACATTGAAACTTCTTTTTCAACTGACCACTACACTTCTCTCACAACCCAGAGATTCTCAGGGCTAAAAGAGAAGAGGAATAGTTGTTCAACCTGTTTAACTAAGGAAACCCAGACTAGATGGTATTTGGCTTCACAGCCAGAGACCAGATCTCTCAACTTCATCAGCATTTCACGAGTTATACCTCCAAAGTGAGACATTTCAAAATGCAGGGACTAAAGTCACCCATTTTTAATCAGTTTCTAAACATTATTACACTTCAAGTTCACAGCCAGCACCCCCTTGCAGCTCACTTTGGGCTCATCTGCAGCTGTCAAACAAGAAATATCAAGGGTATATAACTGTGCTGTCAGAGTTGTGGTTTAACCCCAGCCAGGAGCTACGCACCACCCAGATGCTCACTCACTCCTTCCTGGTGGGATGGGGGAGAGAACTGAAAGAGTAAGAAGTAAGAGTGAGAAAACTCGTGGGTTGAGATGACAGTTTAATAAGTAAGGCAAAAGCCGCACACACAAGCAAAGCAAAACAAAACAAGGAATTCATTCACCACTTCTCATCACAGGTAGGTGTTCAGCCACCTCCAGGAAAGAAGTGATCCATCACACATAGCGGTGATTTAGGAAGACAAATGCCATCACTTGGAACATCCTTCCCTTCTTCCTGCATCTCTGTATCCTGAACATGATGCTCTAGGAATATCCCTTGGATCAGTTGGGGTCAGCTGTCCTGGCTGGGTCCCATCCCATTTCTTTGTGAATCCCCAGCCTCCTCACTGAAAAGGCCTTGACTCTGTGCAAGCATTGCTCAATAGCTAAAACATCCCCATCCCCCAATTATCAGCACTGTTTCCAGCACAGACCCAAAACACAGCCCCATGAGCTATTATGAAGAAAATCATCTCAGGCAAAAATCAGCGCACTGTAAGCTAATGTAGCTTTTTGGGCTGCACCTGCCTAAGCATTGCCCAGAGGTCTGTTCTGCACATGTTCAGGATCTTCAGGATTCATCTCTGTTAGAAAACAGATGTCTTCCAGCCTCCCACAGACACCCAGTTATGCACCCACCGTGGGTTACACAGCTGCAAGAAGAACTACAAGTCTCACTGATCTCAGCATAGTTTGGGAGGCACCACATCCGTGTAAAAACATGGCATCCATTCCATGCAACAACAAGGTTTATGACAGTGGACAAGCACTTCTGTGAGCAAAGCCCAGCTGCTGAACATCCAGCCACTTGATGGAAATGAGTTGGACTCTCTAGACTGCAACTGTTCCAGAGCTCCCTTGTTTGTACCCATTATTCCTGCAGCTCTGGTGAGTGCTGCCCAGATCTCCAGGGAAACAAGTAATGGTCATACAAAGTCCCACTGCCACTGATCAAGGTCTACACCATGGTTCTTTCCCTCCAGCCAGGATGAGCTCCCTGAGCTCTAGCAACAGTTCCACCGGCCTGACCCAGTGACAAGCCCATCCCAAGAGGCTGCTCATTTCCCATCTTTGTGTTGGGAATGCAACCCAGCTCACCGGCACAGGAGCTGGCTCTTCACGCCACCTGGCTGCACAGCTGCAAATGCAAAGCGTTAACTCGCAGCATCCCGGAGCACGATTCCCTTGCGGGTAACCAAGGAGGGGGAACTGCTAGAGGCCAGGAGAGGAACGACAGGAATTCCCCGATTGCGTCCACTTCTGGGAACCAGGTGCACAGCGAGCCCCATGCACCCCAGAGCCCATGGAGCCGCAGCAAAAAGCATTTCAGAAACATGCCCAGAGCATGGCAACAATCTTTACTGAATAAGGTATAATTATAATAATAACAATAATGATCTGTGTCAAATGGACTTACTGTATCAAAAGGAAAGGATGCAGATGAACTTAATTTGGATCAGTTGCTTTGCAAATCTTTGCACCCAGACCATCTACCAATTTCCCCTAAATCCAGCACCTACAGCATCCTCTGGAATCATTGTCTCTTCCCTGTCACATCAGGTTTCCTCCTGCCCAAATCTACATATAGCTCTGACCTAAAATCCACAAAAATCACCTTGGGTTTTGAACTGCCTTACATGCCATTAGTCCATCCAGCACACAAAGTCCTGGGTCTCCTTGTCACATCTGCAATGCCAAGACAGCAATTTCTAACACTCTGTACTTGAAGTAGAGCATGGGTCTCATCTTTGCAACCCTTCCAGACCATAAGCCACCATGACATGTGT